AATCGTCTTATTAGTTATTAGTTATGTTTCCGGGACAAAAAGAGTGCGAAAACACGAGCAGCTAACAAGCGTTGTCATTCAAAGGAATGATCACAGATAGGTCGGTTGAAAAAAAAAACAAGCAAATAAACAAAAGTCCAACCGAATCGAGCATTTGCAATAAAATGAATAAGCTGAAGAAGTGTGTAAAAGCAGATTCCTTTAAAATCACCTAGCGTGTATTCACGAAGGTTAGATTGGAATAAGCAGTTTAAGTACTGTTACAACTCTTTAGTAAATGAGGTGATCGGAGATTTAAGTAGGAAGATTCTTCAAGTTTATAACCTCGTTATGCCTCACCTCAGGAAGCGGACTCATTAGCCTTCGACTGTAGGGCCAGAGGTAGATAAGTTCGTCTAAGAAATCCCCATCCACTTGCGGATTCACCTCACAAGACCAATAAGGCGACATAAACACTTGAGCTGGCATCTCACTGTTGTCAACTGATCGCTGCATCATCATCTTTCCATCAAAGCCTTACCCAAAAAATGCGGGCTTACATACCCACCCAATAATAGTGGAGCAGTTCAGCACCGAACCAATGAGGCGACTCATCAAAAAATGCATAGATGCGAACTTTTCTGGAACACTGGTAGAGAGCAGTGGGTTGAGTTAAGAGAAAATTGTGGCTCATCGAGGAAGATAATAAACGTGTTACTTCCTGCAACGAGTCTCTAACACAGTCAAGCACCTCAATTTTGACCATTCCTGCATTCCAGTACAGTAAGACTTGCCATCATTTTATCGCCGATGCGATCACCGCTAATGACCTTGAGAACAGACGCAAGGGAAGAGGATAATTCCACAAAGACCAAAATAAATAAATTAAAGACAGATCTGACGGTACATGACAGACCATTCGGTTGAAAGGTCTGAAATTGGCCTCCACTAAGCATTGGTTGCTTTATATTCCAAGGAGTGCACATTAGCATTGTTGATGGAGCCTTTGGATTGCCTCCAAAGTATACCGAGCCTCCGCTCATTAGTGACATTGACACGACCTATCAGCACCTCAAAGGTGTGATTGGAGTTACTACTCAATTTGATAAACTTGCCAAAGTCTTGTTTGAGAGTGTAATTCATCTGCCAGAAAAATAAACCATTCCAAGAGGGCTGTCTGGGGGGCAAGAGGCAGTATGCACCTATCATCACAAGTCATTTTGTTCACTCTGACAGACAATCATCTCAAATGCAGACCAAAGTGATTAAAATCCACAACACCAGCTATTTTAATTCGAAAAGGAAAATAAAAAGACAAAACAAACCAAAAGAAAACAAAGTTCACGCTTACAAGTGGAGGAGAGAAACACCACCTGCACCCACTTCTCCCTCTTTGCCTTCATTTACTACCGCATAAATCACTGTCACCAAATCCCTCTGCTAAGGCACTACGAGAGCATTCACAACTATTGCAGTGAGTAATAAGA